GTATGTGTGTGTGTGTATGTGTGTGTGCTTCTGTTTGTGTGTGTGCGTGTGTGTATTATATATAGGTATATGTATCTATATTTATATGTGTATCTACGTGGAATTCGTATATCAATGTCTATACGCTTATACGTATGTTTATATTCGAGTGCAATCATACAGCTTCAGCGTAAATACTACCTTGCTGCTCTTTGTGATAGACTAGATGGCTTGTAGAATAGTAGATAGAGTCAATGATTCCACCGCAGCATTTGTCCCTGATACGACGAAAAGTGTCATCTCCGTGTTCTGGCGCGGTGCTAAATTTAAATTTATTATTTGTTATTAAACTTATCTTACTAACAGCGGGCAAAAGAAGATCGGCACAGCCTCAATTTACTGTATAATCAACTGAAGCTCCAGATTGAGAAAAAAGAGGCCGACGACGCGTCGCAAGCACAGGAGAGGAGGAATATGAACAGCAATTTTACAGAACAAATGGAAGAACTGAAGGTGAGTGCACAAGAGTCGGATATGTATCGATTCGACTTTAAATATGCTAGGTTTCCCCTTCAACTGTAGAGAAGCAGCCGCGAATAGTTGCTCCCAAAAATAATAATGCGATGATTAGCTATGATGACCGACCAATAAAAGATTCCGGTTGACATTCTATACGTACACCACCACGATGTACCATAGCACTTGCGAAGCGTAGTCTCCTTGTGAGCTCGCAACACTCTCGAGTACGGGATGGAAGTGATAATGTTCTGTACGTATTTAACATCCAGATTGCTCATGAGGCTGTTAAAGCTGAGAAAGAGTGGCTCCGAAGCGTTGTTGATATGTGCAACGAAAAAGTAGATTTGCTCGAGGCAGAACTGGAGAATGAGCAAGCGCTTGGACATGAAGCTGTACAACTACTGGAAAAGGTGAGCAAACTACTACATCTATATATGCAAAAATAGGAAGCTTACTCTAAACATATGATGCGATGGAACTAAATACGAATCGAATTGACTGCCTTCCTTGTATTAAAGGCGTAACAATTCGGAGATTTGTCAGTCTCTTTAATACAAGTTTCTGACTTGCAATTATATTATATTAAAGGCTAAGGCTGAAAAACGTACTCTGATGAAAGAAGTAGAGCAATTGCAGTTAAAACTCACTGATGCAACCCGCGAGCGTAAAGCCGCAGAGATCAAAGTAGAGGTACGTATGTAATTGCTTATTTTCTTAATTGAAATATTAATTTTGGCCTTCGATCCTTATTTGCCCCGTCTCAACGCCTTTCAATTCGTGCTACCTTTTGTTATCAACTACATGGTGGCGATATTGATTTGTTTCCCGATATGAATGTAGATGCTTGAATCTAAAGGGTCTTCTGCCAATGCCAAGAAATCTAACTTGTCTACCACCGATGGTCACAACCCTGACAGCAACGAGAAGACACCCCAGGTATAGTTCAAAACTTTATTCAACTCGTGATCTTTTCCATATAATCATGTATAGTTCGAGATCAGAGAGTGGCGAGATTCTGAATTTGACAACCGCATATTGAACTAGTACACCTTTCAACCAATACATATGGTACAGCTTGGCCAAAAGCGAAAGGCCAGGAAGACCAGAATGGAAAAGATCAGTGCCGACGAAGACACCGAGATGCGAATTGGATCACCACCATCACCCACACCCATCCGCTTAATGGCACAATACAACGAGACATCGTCCGATGAACTGAAAAGTGTGTATCAGATGCTATTTGACGGCTGGTATTAGACGAGAGCAGTTGATTTAAATCTATGTGTGTCGTATTTGCTTAAAAACTCGAATACTGGTACTTGTCCGAGGGCTCGCATCAATACAACTTCGCAACATTTTTGCTTTGTAAACTCATATTGTGTTACTTGTCCGAGGACTCGCATCGATACACTTTTGCAACATTCTGGTAAAAGCCATGAACAGGTTTAAACGGATGCATTTCACTTTTAACGTGCCACTCACATACATCTACAAACTTATTCGTAGGCAAGATGTTGAATGATCTGAAGGCAATGGCACGTGAGAGAGATGACGCAAAGGAAATGTTACAAAATACAATGAACGAGTTAGAACAACAAAAAGTCGCTATTGATCATCTCAACAAAGAGTTGAAGGTTGTCGATTACTTGTATCATTGATTTTATCGTCGATTACTTGACTAGTAGCATGTGATTGATTTGTTTCCAGTTTGATGTAGCTTGCGGTTTAGAGTATTGTTTGCACTTCGAGAGTGTGTCGATATTTATGTTCGATACTACAGATAAGACTGTGTCGACAATATGAATTTGCAAGACAGCTAAACGAATAATTCTCGCCATTCGATTATTTGCTTTTAGCTCACAAAGACATCGAATTTAGAAGCAAAATTTGGAGCAGCGCAAAATAAACCTGGCACTACAGTGGTACAATGGCACTTAGAGAATTACTGTGAAGCTAAACATTGCGACGTCAAATTCGGGTATGTCTGCTGGTATTCAAAAGTAGTGTGCACCTGCTCAAGGAAAGTAACATTAGCTATATCTTGTTTGATCTATCAAAGGTTTTTTGCATGATAAAGACATAACTACTTGGCACGTTCCCCGATAATAAGCTCTCCTCTATACCGAGGTAAGACTAATCTAACATTGAATATCATGTATGCAGACTACTCACTCGCCGGCATCATTGCAGAACGTGTGGCGATTCGATTTGTCACAACCATAGTGTCATTCAGAAAGAAGTAATGGTTCCACAGACAGCCAGAGTGTGTCAGGATTGCGCTACCTGAATGAAGTGAAACACTAATGAGATATTTAAGCGGTACGGGGAATATCAGCTGAAAATTTGAAAACAACTTTTTCCCCTTTGAAAAATATAGTTGGTAGGGGGTGATGTTTTCAGCTCACCCTGTATCTTAAGAAACATACCTGGCCATCAAACTATCATCAGCACTCTTAGCCGTGTCACATATACTAAAAAGGATCTCATACAATGTAAGTAGGATATAAAAAATGCTACAATATTGAATAAAATTTACAAAAATATTGCTAGTTTCTACTTTCAGTCGTACCTATTTTCCAGATAGATTCCCACTTCAAGATTCACAAGCTATTGCAGCTTTTTCCCCGTAAGTCTATACTCTGCCTTAAACGAGATTGGTGAAACGCGACTTAGAATGACATGGCGGCGTTAAGATCATCAATGTGTACTGTTGGAGGTTAATTCAAGCACGACTATAGCTCGAACCTTGACTGGTTCTTACGCGATCGACCCATCATCATATGAGTGGTGTAGAAGAAGAAGGAATATGATATTTGTGTAGCGAATTATATTCTCGGTTTGAGAAGTTTAAGGACAATGTGAATTGGTAAACTTGATAGCTGGCAAAGTTGGATAATATTATCTAGGTAGAACCGAGTACTGTGATTTTAATTTTGGAAACCTCTGTGTTATCGCATGAACTCTGAGAAAGACACAAAGTATTTCAAATTTTAGTGGGTCATGTTAAATCTGATCCACGCGATAAATTATGTTGGAAGGTAACGTGATAGGTTTTCCGATTGTAATTGATTCTAAAATCTGACTATGAACTATACATTAGCTCAGGGGGACTACCATTCACACTGAGTTATTTCTTTATTTCTTCACGGCAACTATTGAAGGATCTCGGAGGACAATCTAAAAGTAATTTGGGATATTATGCATAGCAAGAGGTATTCGGTATTCCATGGTAGCATTGATAGGTTACTAAACATATGTCGATGCCATGCTACATCTCTCTTGTTTGTTTGTTCTTTGTCAATAATATGAAGGTGGTCGCTAATGAGAGCGAATCGGTGGCGTAAGGAAATGAGTATTGCACTAGCTCGTACCAGGTCGTAACTAACCAATCTGGCCGTTCAATGTGCTATATTGGCCAGCAGTAGAAATGAACTTTATTTGTCCTTTTTCCAAAAATTAAAGAGGAAATACCCCAAATGTACATAGTCTGCATGAATAAGTTACTAAATGCATATAAAAAAATTGTAGAGTAGTTGGCGGTGCCAATTTACGGGTACGTTTTCTAATTACCCAGTCAAACTATCTAAACGTGATCTTCAATCCCTCTTCAAATTTATTTCAAATAAAGATTCAAAGTAAATTTATGGATTTCTGATATACATTTAGTGACTTTCAGGTGTAGACTTGTTAATGACACCAGGGTTCAAAGTCAGTTCGGTAGTAGACATGGCCGCGTGTTTTGTAGCTTGTATACTGCATATCAACAAAAATTTGATGAACAAAGGTCTACTTGGCAGAAATGATAAAGCAACTCATCGATCGATGATTGCTATAACTAGAGCAGCTACTGAACAGGGATACAGCTTCCACGGTTAGGTACATGTGCTGCTGTATATAGCTAAGACTTGGAATAGACTCTATTCTTGTACTTTGTGTCGAATTATGAGTTAATTTAATATCTGCTTACATATGAATCTGATTATCAGAGACAAAACCGATCTCGGAGAGACGAGTATGAATTACTTAACGAGCCGAATTGAAGAATTTGCAAATTATTTATTCATGGAGGCTCGTCGGGAACACGATGCAGTCTTCACTGATCGAAAAACAATGCTTTAAATGCAGCATTAGCTAAACGGTAAGTGTGATTTTTCTATATCGTCTGAGAAACTTGAAGAAACTGTGGTCACCAACATGAAGCACATCTTCTGTGTGCTTTATCACCTGTAGTCGTTATTTTAATTAGCCCTGTCCGGGGATTTCAGGGCAGATGTGACCCTGATATATATTGCGTGGATGACTTATACAGGACACGTGACCTGTTTGTTTGGAATAGACGTAACTGGAAGCTACTATAGTGCTATCATTCTACGGTATACAAAAAAAAATGAAGACTCGTAATGACACACGTACTTACATATTATTATTGTAGTAAATTACTGGCATAGTACATAAAAACATGGCATCTAAACACGAATGATCTATTACTAAAATTCAAGTCTTAATTCAGTTTTGTGCAAATGATTCTGATTGCTGAACAAAAAGTGCCAGGAGATACGACTTTAGAATAAAATTTGGGTAAGGCGACACTAATATGATCGTTTCATCATATATTTAAAAATGAACGAAGTATCTTAAAATGTACATTAAAGATGTAAAAAAGCCACTAAATGTACATTCACTCAATATATGTACACATGTACTTGGAGACAATAACACTTTTAAAATATACTTGCTGACTTTTACGTGCAAAATTCGCTTCATGTATGCATTTTTTACGAATGGATGTGTTTGTGTGGGAAGGAGGGTGGGGGGGGGTGGATGTTGCTTTTTTGCTTTTTTATTATTAACATATGCTACTTCATTCACACTTATTTCAATGATTGGCGCGCAACACGCGTAGTCTGTGATGCTCCTTTGCAGGAACATACGAGCTTAGTGTTTCATGAATACTTTTTAAACCCTATTGTAGTCGTACAAAGTCTACATATTGCGATACTGCTCTACCGTAGGCACAAAGTAAAACTCTACAGCTAAAACTGTCATGTTGGGTTATACCGCCTGCTTTAAGGCTGTATTTATATAGTGTTCTCTGTGAGATAAAAATTCCATCCATCGAACTATATATCCGGATTATTCATCAGCTCTAGTAGAATTAGACATAGCATTTAAAATGGTATCTGTCGCATTTGATTTGCTCACTGTGGCAATAGCTAAGTTCTCATGTGCGTTCCTATGATTCCACGAGATCAACATATAGGGCGTTTCGGAAATCTGTGTATGTCCCCCAAGTCGAAAGCTTTCGGCCATACGATATTTGTGTAAGTTCTTCATAAATATTCTATGTGCATCAGCATCACAGAAGCAAACAGCTTGAGAGAGGCTATTTGCGACCAATGAAAGAAAATCCGCATATCAGTGAGCCTGTGATGCATTTTCATCGTTCGCAGCTTTTGATGGGTTGAATTTCATCCTGCAAGATTCAGTCGCCGATGTAAGACGTTTTCGACTCTCCAGGAGCGCTTTATATCATCTGGCAATATTCAAGGTATTCTTCCTTTCAGCGGCCACCTATTGTCTGAACATCATTAAATGGGCTCCGCCTATGTAGCATGAAACGAGCGATACAACTCAGCACTAATCCAAGCGGCAGCCATCATAACAGGCACTGCATTCCCGAAAATTTACGCATACGGCTGCTCTGTTTCTGTGGTTTCCTTACAGCACGCCAATATGCAGAGTACCTCAGGGGCTGCCCGGGATTACGCCTAAACTCAATCGACAGTACAATCCCACTCGCCCCACTTACGAGACCCGCTTGGACACGCAACAGGCCTCTGGACAAATTCCCGTTCAGTATTTGCATTTTCTGCAATCGGGAGGAGAGTGTATACCTCAACACAAAGAGCTCCATAAGCTCCACAAGCAAATCCGGTAGATACCACGCGACGTCTCGCGGCTAAGGAGCTAGCATGGAAGGCTCACCACCAATATAACTATTGATATGTCAGGGAAGAGATTCCCATCACGGACCGGGAAAATCTCTCCCGTGGAAGTTTTACCCACTGCCGCGATAGAGACAAACATTGATAAAAATTAACATATTCCTGTGTAATTTGCTTGACTATTGGACTTGTGGATGCCTCTATCCAGTGTGCCCCGGAGATATGATTTACATCCAGCCACTTTGCTTGTATCAGTAACATAATATTATGCGTATACTGGTGGGCCCAAATCTGCCGTCAATTGTACCGGATTTACTACAACAACTACAAAATCGACGTGAACATATCAGGAGCTTTCTTTTGTATGTACAGTGGCCATCAATTTATCCCCATACAGTACTTCCCAACAGGTTGATGTTCATCATACCCCATCACATCACTCTGCTGAAATACTATTCAGATTTCGGTCCAGGCCAAATCTTCGAGACTTCTGGTAATATCTATAATACTTCTTGCTATGGCTAGCCAGAATAATTCAAATACATCAGTTGTGTGGTATGTCATCGGACAGCCTCCAACGTCGCTCTGAAGCAGAATTGCGGATCAACCCCTCAGCATTCTTGGCATCACGATCAATGATTCCGGAAATACTCATACTGATTCAGCTCAGATTACCACTACGAGTGTAAGCCAGCTTTGTTCCACCCAATGTC